GAACCATCTTCCCCTTCCCTAGGAGCTACGGGTAATGCAGCATCCAGGACATAAGCTATTTTTTCGGCCCTAAGAAAAATTCTTAAGTTCCGATACCAGTCCATAAAGTTTGAACCGGTCAATTTGTTCGTATCGAGTATTGAGCGCAGTGACAGTGGATTAGTCATACTAAAAACTGAAAAAGATGTAAAGATGATTTGATTAATATATCTAGACATGTTGTATAAACAAATTATTAAAGACTTTAAATAATTTGCTCCTCCCACTATTTTATCTAAGTCAATGACCCTTCCCATTTGACTTAGGGTTAATCTACTTTTAGATTTTACCTTAGTGAGATTAAGAGTGCGATTATCTATTTTAACCCTCGTCTGTGACCGCAAGATTAATTTAAATAATGGGTTGATCTTCATCAACAGTATCTCATACCCTCTCTTAACATTTGGTTGACAACTCCTTGTCACTTAGTGGTGCATCTCATGCAACCAACCTAGCATTATTACCCTAAGCACATAAGCCCAGCTGAGCCTGCAACTTATGTCTCAGTTAAGTATTAACCAGCACCCTAAGTGTCTAACACTTCTAATACTACTCTTACTCAACGAAACAGTGGGTCCCAACTGAGTTGTGGAGCACCACTATGTAGAGGAGGTTCGAGTAATATTGGTGGTGGGAGGTAATCATATTCTTAATAATTTATTCCTTTAATGGTTCCTTTTATTTGGGGTTTATTAGGTCTCATCAAACACATTTATATTATTATCATGCTAGTCGTTATCCTATGTCAAACATCTATCGGATTACACTAGTCGTAATTGGACATGCATAATAATACATACAAACGCGATTTGTCCAATTCATGCATACTAGTCGTTCAAAACATAAAAGCATACATGCATATAAAACAGTTTTATTTGAGATGGTCATGGTGCTCGTGCATTTGTCCATCTTGCTTCTCAAGCATCGGCTCCTCGTCGTCTATACGCCATTAGCCTAATTCTCTAATTACATATAATTAAAGAAACTCCAAAACATCTTTGGAGGGACAAATAATAAAAATTCAAAATTCAAATTACAACTCTAATTAAAATAGAGCAAAATTACACATTAATTTAAAATTTGAAATTCGAATTTCGGGCACCATGACCATCCCCTTCCAAATTGCACCTAAAAATTTAAACAGCTTGCAAGCACATAATATCAAATATTATATAAATATTTCCTCACATATATTTTGATAATTTAACAATTAAAATATCAAAACAAGAATCAAAATTCAAAAATTTTCCAATTTTCTCCCAATGGTCGAATTTTGCATCTTTATGCATAATTCAAATCTTTGTCAAATCTTTCTCAAAGATCACAAAAATTAAACCATTTATTCAACCATAACTCATATGGTCGAACCATACATCATCATATACAAAAAATTTATTAAATAAAATCATGGAGAAAATAATGCATTTGAATATTCACATCATGGCAGAATCATATTCCCTTTTCAAAACAATGTTTCTTTTGAAAACTTTCACAAAGAATCAAAACAAACAAAACCATGAGCTCATATAGATATATGAACACCATAATCATATTAAACATGTTCATAAAAAAAATCCACATGCAAAGAATTAATCTTTAACAAAAAGACCTTTTGACCGTGAGAAAATTAATTTCACAAACAAAGTATCATCACCCGCCGATGGTAAAGCGACCGGGCTCTGATAGCACTTGACAGTAAAATGGCCTTGAAGGTCGTAGCATGTGAGAGGGAAAAACAAAAAAAACCATGAGGTCATGTAGATTAATGAACACCATAATCATACGCCCCTATTCAGCCCAAAAAGGGTCCAGATACATTTGAGCTGTTGCATTCAAGTTTGAACCAACTAGCTCACTGATTCTCTCAACAACCAAATCTGATTGGAGCTTGTTGGTTTGACAATATGACAATCATCTCCCACCAAAATGGCACCCCAAATCAGCCCTTGGAGATCTCCATAGATCTTTTCTTGATACAAGGGATTTGTTCGAACAAGATCTCATCTTATCCTTTTGTTATGAAACAATTTTTCATAGCCAATTCAAATTCGAATTCAAATATTTAAATTCAAACGTTCAAACATTTAAATTCTAAATTCAAATTCAAATTTCAATTTCAAAATTCAAATTCAAAATTCAATTTTCAAAATTCAATTTTCAAATTTCAAATTCAAAATTCGAATTTCAAAATTCAAATTCAAAATTCAAAATTCAAAATTCAAATTTCAAATTCAAATTTCAAAATTTAAATATTTGATAATTAATTTAACAATCCCATTCAAATTTCAAGCCCATTAACAATACCATGCGCCCTCTCTCTCTTAGGTGGGCTTCCAAACTTCATCTTGGGCTAACAACCATTATTATGCCCAATACCTTTAATGCTATATCATCATGACATTAAGGTGTTAGTGTGTGACCCATTAGGTCCAACATAGCCACTGACATAAATAGGCTCCGGCCCAACAAGCCCATAGCCCATTTAATGACAACACAGAGCACTAACAATGCTTTGTTGCCCCAAAGCTAGTTAGATAATGACTTGATCATCCTATTACACATACTTGGTTGCCGTATGTATTTCTTTTCGTCTCGGTTACCTTCCCATAAAACCTAGGGTAAGGAAGCGTATCAACCCTTGCGGTTTAGGGTAAGCTTTATTCGAAATAGGGAATCTTCAATTTACTGACTCTAAAGACAGATCATCTCATGATCTCTTTTACTATGCATAGATTCCCGAGTCCTGTAAATGTCATCCCAAATATAAAGAGACTACTCTAATGATACTCTGTGAGATTTCCTCATAGAGTCTCTTTTGTGGGTCTGTTCGGTGCGAGCTATACCCTTATAGATCCACCCACGACTTTAGCTAAGACATCTCCATATCTGTAGCTCATGAGGTCTTTACCTTGCATCCGAATACAAGTAGATAAGTCGTGCTAGTCTTACCCGAGATCACTGATCCCCATTCTCAGTGTCTCTAGACTAGGAACATAAAATTAGGAATAAATATCCAGTATCCTTGAATCCTCATGATCGTGATCTCATCACAGATACTCAAGAGATACCTATTTTATTCCAAGGGGTTTATCCAGTTACTCATATAAAATATTAACAGTAATATTGAGACAAAATATGAAATAGGATAAATAGTGCTTTTATTTATTTGCGACAATACAAAGGTCCACATATGTCCTAATCTAATTAAAAGATTGTCTCTAGGACATCCATATACTAACAAGGTTGATTAAAAGGTTCTTAGCCTCGCATGGCTAAGGTAAACATAATTAAAAATTAAAAAGAATAAGAACAGAAGATGAAGAAGAAGAACAGAATTGAAATTTAGAGAAAACTTGTCTGTCGTCAAAAACTCCCAAAAACTGACTGCCGAAGGGTCTCTTAAAGTCTCCCTTAAATAGCCGTCATTCAGAACGGCTAGGGTTTCACCGCTTCGGCTCATACATAAAATAAAAGCTGAATAAAATAAAATAAAACATGGCCTTGGGCCCTAAACACATTGGGTCCTAATGTGAATTACAAGTCCAAACGTCAAAATAAAATTCTAGCAAAAACATGTCATCTTGAGATCAGGTTACGACCATCGTATCGTTCGAATTTGGCTACAGTAACTGAAATAGAGATTGTAGCCCTATCTGTTAGCTGAAAAACGCAACAAGAACGGAGTCAATCGAACATCTGTAGAGTGAGATATGGTCAAAATAAGAAAGTAGTGTAAATCTGGAAAATTATGACGAAAATCAATTAAACCCAATTAAAATCTAGAATTGTGATTTGACCCAAAAGACCTTTATTTAATTCAAATAAATCATAAAAATACCAACCTAGAGTAATAAATAAGTGTAACAAAATATGAGTTATCAAATTCCTCCACACTTATCTTTTTGCACTCTTGGGCAAAAACTAAAATTGAAAGCAAAGACTAAGATCAACCAATCCTTTCTAACAACTATCAAGCATACAGAAAATATACAAAGATAACAAGTCTTCCACAGATAAATCAATCAGGACAGAAATTTCCTAATCTCAAATCACAAGACTTGCTAATTTCAGCTGCACATGCCAATTACAGAAAATGGTTTCTCACAGGATGCTCTCAATATTTTTCTCTCAAGTGTATCAGGTAATAAGTGTATCACTCAAATCTACTCAAGAAAATCATTCTACCATAGGCTTGCTCAAATTCTACTTCTCCACTGCTACTAACACATGCATGCACAAATCAAGAGGGCTTTATGCAGGGTTGTAATGGGGCTGAGGTGAAGGTATGGATGAAATATGAAAAAGAAGGTTAAACACCCCAGAAATCTACAAGAGCAAAAGTTAAGAACTACACAAAGATAATAAAAAGATAAAAATAAACACATTTTTTTTGTATTTTTTTTTGTTTTTTTTAAGAACACAGAAGAACCACATAGCAGAGAAAAGAATCAGATTGTCACCCCCCACACTTAAACTTTTGCACGCCTCGGGCAAACCCCCACACTTAAACACAACATCACAGTGAAAACCATTGCTCAGTAAATCTCCAGGGTGTGGAATTAATTGGTTTTTCACTTAGGCTTGTAATGTGGCGCAAGAAGTAAAGGATATAAAGGCTCAAGGGGCTCATCAAGGGATAATAATGTAAGGGATGGCTATCTGGCTAAAGTTGGTAAAGAAAGAAATGAATGCCTCAATCATATTCATGCATGTAAGTGAAAAATGCAGTTTCAAAAAGAATCAAATTCTAGAGAACAAAGATCAAGAGCAAAAGTACACAAGAAAGAAAGCATGGCCAGAAGATATGTCATGTATACAAGCTCAAAACCTCACAAGGGTTAACCAAATCATGCAATCAACATCACATATCAATCAACAGGTATTGCAATCCAAGAATCGTGATCAAAGCCTAACAGACTATGCTATCAAACACTGTGATCTAAGTCTACTCCATGTACCACTCAATAATTACCAAAAAGAAGAGGATAATCTACCTATAAAAGTCAAAAACTAAAAGAAAGAAAGGAAAATAAAAATAAAAATGCAAATAACAAAAAGAAAAGAAGAAGAGGGAAGAGAACTCCCTGAACTCCCTAAGGAGAATAAACAGCATCAAACAACCTGATTTCAACCTCACTGGTTTAACACCTTCTTCAAGTAAAATGCGGTGCATGCACATGGAAGGGTTGATTCCCACATTATCTGCTAAAGTCCATCCAATTGCTTTTTTATTTTCTTTCAGCAATGTCAGAAGCTTTACCTCTTGCTCAGGTAGAAGGTTCTTCGCCACTATCACAGGTAACTGCTCATTTTCCTCCAGATATGCATACTTCAGATGGTCATGCAGAACCTTCATTTCCAACTTAGGTAGCTGCTCAGTGGATGGGAGAAGTCTAGTGGGTGCAAGTTCTGCAGAAAACACATTAACATATATGCCTGCAATCAAATTCTCAGAAACAGAATCATCAATAATTTCAACAGGCAATTCAGAATTCAACTTCAATGCAGAACCACTATGCAAATCATCATTCAATGCATGATTAAAATCAGAACAGCACAGCGCTATCTCAGCACAAGCAGTACAGTTACTACTATCGGTACAACCACATGAAAAATCAGAATCAGAATTGTAACACCCCGTGTATATCCGGTTTGTTAACATATCATCGTATTAAGCTGCGCTTAATTAAAAATGCGGAATATCTTTTTCTTTTCAATTATGACGTCATTATACTTAGCCGAGTTGATTACTTAATCATTTTCAAAAAATATCGCCTGTATGTAAATTACAAATAAACATCTAACTGAAATACCTCAAAATATAGATAAAGTGAGTATCTAAAATCACGGATCTACAACACGTAGTCCGGACAATATCCTGATACATTATTACAACTCCTAATAAAGCAAGGCAATAATCAAGTCTGTGTGGCATGGACAATCCCCATGCTCACCAAATCAACAACATAACGAACAAAGTCTCAACATAATAATCCATAAACTGAAGCTAAGAGCATAAGACAGTAAACAGGATTCAGCATCCAACATAATCATCATAACAACAAATAATCTGCTAAGCTCCGGCCTCCTGCCGCTGGAGGTCTCAACCCCCGCATTACCTGAACCTGAAATGGTGCCCCAAACATGGGGTGAGATATCTAAACAGAAATCTCAGTAAGACAAGGGGTCCTTAAGGATCTTCCACCCCAAGCTCACTTACATGTGCAATATAAGTTCTAAAAGCAGTAATTCAATATAAGTTCTCAAAACTATGCAGTGCAACAGATATTCATGCCATGTGTGTTTAAACTATTCTACTGGCCAGAAAAATGCAGGAATACGTCTATTACCTACATGTAGTACAAGGAACACCGCTTGCACCTTACCCACAGCCTCACAATATTGTATGTACCACATACTCAGGCTTACCGTATAGGTGGAACACCACATGCATATCATAAAGGCACTAGCATATAACAGCTCATTAGCATTTCAAAATATCCAAAGCATGTAACACAACATGTATATAACCATACCCCCATGGGACATGTGGAACCACAACATGGCTAAACCGAGGACACAAAAGCTTACCTTGCAAGCTAGCTATCCCATCCAACAGTTCACACAATCTCAAAGTCCAAACACAGCAGTATCACAATCTGTTACAGACCAATAATATATCAAAATCATACTCTACAAGCATTCAACAAAAGACAACGCCTTTTCTTTCACGTTTTACGTCTTAAGGCTTCATACAAAGCCATAAGCCCTTAATCACTTGATTCTTACTTAGATCAATTAAAACAGAAGTTCAACTTCAACAATCTAGGGTCCACAAACCCCCAATAGCCCATTGCATGAACAGTGCACCTACTGTTCTTCGAAATCTCAGAATATACGGATATTCGTCGGGGGCATATCCGGATATCAATATCCGGATATCTCCCTTCCAATATCCGGATATTTCGCGACAGAACCCAGATTCTGCATTTCGCAAAAATCCAAACCAAAGGTCCAACTTTTACCGATTACAGAAGCTTACACATGCATTTCTAAGTGTGTTAAGCATTACCCAACGTTAGGTTTTCATCTTATCTTGTTACATGCATCAAGGTTCCATTTTTAAGCATAAAAACTCAAGTTTAAGGGTGATGATCATACCACAAGCTCAAGACAGCAACAAGGAAGGTGTCTTGATGGTGTCTAAGTTCTTTTACAGTGCAGCAACCCAAGACCACGAAAATGAGCATGAAGGTGGCTCTTAAACTCAACAAGAAAGCTCCTTGTAGATTAAAAACACCATATACAAGGCCACACCCCACAAGAGCAAAGAACACAGCCCCTAAACTACCAACACAGTACACCCACACTCAGAAGATGGTTCCTTTACCCTCACCCATCACACACCCAAGTGTTTGCAAGGTTAAAGAGAAGGAAAATCAAGAGAAAATGGTGGTTTGGTCACAAATGATGAAGGAAGAGCAATGAAACAGTCTTAACCACTCAGCCTCCAAGTGTCTCACGTAGAGAACTGATGTGCGTAGGGTTTTGAGCCATCACAAGAGTATATATAGGCCACTTAAGTCATTAAACACACAATTTTAACTTTAATTGCTACGCTTAGAATTTTAATCCCAAACTCAGGATTCTTAACCTACTCAATTTTACAAGAATTAAAATATTTTTATTTTATTTTTCGGAGCACCTTTCCGGTACGCGCTTTTCCATAGCCAGTATCAGTTCTGGCACCAGTTCTCATTATTTTAACTTGAAACTTGTTTTACTAGTCCTGTTTAATATTCTAGGAATTATCATGCACTTATTATAATTTACCGGGATACTTTTTCGGTACGCATTTATACCGAGTAGCAGAACCGGTATCTACACTTTTCGTACAAAAAGCGACTTTCAGCATTATCAACCACTTTCTATATTTATTTAAGCCTCATAATAATTATTAGGGACAATTATGGAATTATAACTTCCTTAATTAACGGTGCGGGTTCTTACAAGAATCAAGGAAGGATGAAAATTCTGGATATTCAGCAATCAAATCAACAGAGATATCATTAACCATTTCATCTATTATATCAATGCAGAAAACAGAATGCTCTTCCCTAGGATATTTCATGGCATCAAAAATATTAAAATTGACCATGCTATCACCAAATTCCATGGAAAGAGTACCAACATGCACATCTATCTTAGTCCTAGCAGTTTTCATGAAAGGTCTATCAAGTATAATTGTACTACTAGGAGTCTCACCCTCCATCCCTAAGACATAGAAATCAGCAGAAAAAATCATATGGTTCACCCTAACTAATATATCTTCAACTACTCCAGAACGATGAACACTACTCCTGTTGGCTAACTGAACAACAATACCAGTAGCACGTAAGGGACCAAGACCAAGAGACTTATACACAGATTCAGGCATAACATTAATGGATGCTCCTAAGTCTAACATACAATAATGAAAAACAGAATTTCCAATAATGCAAGAAATAGTAAATGTCCCTGGATCTTGACACTTCTTGGGCATGGGTTTGATGAGTGCTGAAACATTCTGGCTGACGCTGACTCGCTCATCTCCTTTCAGCCTCCTCTTGTTGGTGCAAAACTCCTTCAGAAACTTGGCATATCTTGAAATTTGCTGAATCGCATCCAAGAGTGGGATATTGACCTCTACTTTTCTGAAGGTGTCAAGAATCTCGTTATCTTGAGCTTTTGCTGCTTGCTTTTTAGACTGAGTGGCTCTTTGAGGAAAAGGTAACGGGATGTGGACATCAGAAGTATCAGTATTCTACTTCCTTGAACCAGTGTCACCTCCTTGAGATGACTCATCAGCAGATTGGTTTGGCTCCTCCAATTACTTGCCAGACCGCAGAGAGATAGCACTAACATTGCCGGTTCCCTTTGGATTTGGAACTGTCTGTGTTGGAAGGGAGCTTCCACTTGCTTGTTGATTCTGACTCATTGATGTTGCAAGTTGGCCAATCTGTGTTTGCAGATTCTGGATGGAAGACTCAGTCCTCTACTGAAACTGTAGATTGTTAGTTGCCATCTGCTTCACTAAATCCTCCAAAGAAGGACCATTGCTACTGGCTTGCTGCTGTATTGGCGGCTGTTGCTACATTGGCGACTGCTGCTGCATTGGCGGTTGCTGCATTGGCAGCTGCTGAATTTGCTGTGGAGGTGCAAATTGTTGAAAATTTTGTCTCTGCTGTGAAGGTACAAACTGCTGCCTCTGCTGGAATGGTGTACTTTGCTGATTTTGGCTCCATTTGAGATTTGGATGATTTTTCCAGCCAGGATTATATATATTAGAGAAGGGATTGTTTTGCTACTGCTGTTGGTGGTATTGTGGATTTCTAGGAAAAACTGTAGCAACAGACTGATCAACTTGGAAACCGTTGTCTTGTAGGGAAGGACAAGCATCCGTGGGGTGAGAAGGATCACAGCAGATGCCACATAGGTTGCTTATCTGTTGAGCAGAAGGTTGCACAGTCTGTGTCACTGCCAACTGCCTCACCATTGATGTCAACTAATCAAGTCTGTTCTCCATTCTCTGGTTATCTGTGCTTGATGCTCCTGTTGCTGCCACTATTGGATTTTGCATTGGAGGAGCTTGAACTTGGAACACTGCATTGCTATTTGCTCTAGTGCCAAATTGTTGAGCATTAGCCGCTATCTCAGCAATCAACTCTTTCGTCTCATCAGGTGTTTTTTTTTCCAGGACTCCTCCTCTAGCTGCATCTAAAAGGTTCCTATCCATAGGCAGCAACCCTTCATAGAAGTAAACAATCAGGAGATTGTCTGGAATCTGATGATGTGGACAGCTTGCACAAAGCCTTTTAAACCGCTCCCAATACTCATGCATGTTCTCCTCATTAGCCTGCCTTATGCCACTGATCTTCTTTCTGATTGTGGTGGCCCTAGATGAAAGGAAGAATTTCTCCAGAAACAATCTTGACATTTCATTCCAGCTTACAATGGAGGAAGGTGGCAAGTAGTAAAACCAGTCCTTAGCTCCACTGTCCAAAGAGAAAGGAAAATCACGCAACTTGATTTGCTCCTCATCCACCCCTGGTGGCTTCATAGTGCTGCAGACTATATGAAATTCCTTCAGATGTTTGTGAGGATCCTCACCTGCAAGACCATGAAACTTGGGAAGCAAGTGTATCAGTCCAGACTTAAGCTCAAAAGGTACAATAGGATTAGCATAATGAATACACAGGGGCTGCTCATTATCAATATCAGGAGCAACCAATTGCTTAAGTGTTCTATCATTCATGATTTCAGAATCAAATAAATTACCAGACGAATAAACACTATGTAAAGGACTCGAACAAACAGACTCAACAGACTCAGACTCAACATACTCAGACTCTAAGGTATGCTCAGGAACAGCTCTACTGTAAGTCAACCTACGAGCTCTACTAGCAGCATGCAATGATCTATTTATCTCAGGGCAGCATGCATATAAACACTGGTAGAACTCCTAGTTATGCAACATAGGCAAAGGCATATAGCAGTAAAGTCGCAAAGCATACGATAGAACACAAAAATTGTAAAAAATAGCAAAAAGAAGCAAAAATAAATCTACGAAAAATACTAAATGACCTCGGAATGCTATGGGACCAACTCTCCTAAACTCTAATTGACCATTCGGACTCAAAAACCAAATAAATTTTTTTCAAAAAAATAAAATAAAATAGTAAAAGAAGGAATTTGGCAAGACCATTCGGACTCTAATTGACAAGGATGATCGTCTCCTTCAGCTCACCAATTTTCAGAGCGATCAGAGCAAGTTGAACAAGTTCAGAAATACCCGATACGTCCTGAAACGACAAAGAAACAGCAAAAAGGGTTAGTAAACGACTAGATTTTGCGAAATAAACGACTGAAACTTTAAGAATGATCTGGATAAGACAGTCGTCTTCCCAATCACCAAAAACACCCAAAATCGCGAAAAAAAAAATTAATTAAACTAAAACGAATAATAACCTATCTTACTAAAATAGAAGAAAAAGAAAACTAAGAATTGAAGAAAAATATTGTCAGAATAAAAGGGATTAATATTCAAAACAAAAAAAATAAAAAAAAATGATAAAAACCGATGCAATTTCCCCGGCAACGACGCTAAATTTGACACGAGCTGTCGAACTCGCGCAAATTAAAAAAAAAATTAATAGAGTTCAGAAAATTTGTAGTAAAGTGAAAACCCTAAGTCGTCTCTCAAGGAAATTGTTTGGGTAAAAATCGTTTTTGAAAACAGAATATAAAATTGGAATTAAAGTTCGTAATTAAAATTGGAATTAAAATCAGTTAAATAATTTAAAAGGCAGAATATAAAATTGGAATTAAATTCGTAATTAAAAATTAACCAACTTAAGGTTAGGGTTCCATGGACGTCTTTCCTCGGATAAAGAGATATCAGAATCGCGATTGATTGTCAATTGAATCAGAATCCTTATTTCTAATTGACAACCTTCTCTAAGCGATTGCTTAACATTTGATCAAATACGATGCTTTTACTCATACAATCGCAGAGTATCTGCCCGTTTGATTTAAGTTCATAGGGTCAATCAATCATCATCAAATCTGATGATTAATCCATTTCCATAATCGCAATCGCGAACCTCAGATTGAATATCCACACGATCGCACGATATCAATATGAGTTTGGAAGGGAAACGAAACTGATTTAAAATAAAGAGCAGATCCTCAAGACTAATCCATGGAATCCGTTACCCTTAGGTTGATTAAAAGGTTCTTAGCCTCGCATGGCTAAGGTAAACATAATTAAAAATTAAAAAGAGTAAGAACAGAAGATGAAGAAGAAGAACATAATTGAATTAAAATTTAGAGAAAACTTGTTTGTCGTCAAAAACTCCTGACTGCCGAAGGGTTTCTTAAAGAATCCCTTGAATAGCCGTCATTCAGAACGGCTAGGTTTTCACTGCTTCGGCCCATACATAAAATAAAAGCTGAATAAAATAAAATAAAATAAAACAATAAAACATGGCCTTGGGCCTAAACACATTGGGTCCTAATGTGAATTACATGTCCAAACGTCAAAATAAAATTCCAGCAAAAACACGTCATCGTTAGCTCAGGTTTCGACCATCTTCTCGTCCGAATTGGGCTTCAGTAGCTGAATAGAGATTGTAGCCCTATCTGTTAGCTGCAAAACGCAACAAGAACACGAGTCAATCGGACATCTGTAGAGTGAGATATGATCAAAATACGAAAGTAGTGTAAATCTAGAAAATTATGACGAAAATCAATTAAACCCAATTAAAATCTAGAATTGTGATTTGACCCAAAAGACATTTATTTAATTCAAATAAATCATAAAAATACCAACCTAGAGTAATAAATAAGTGTAACAAAATACGAGTTATCACATGTCCTCCATGAACGCATCTATATGATCATATACTCCACAATTGATCCAGACCTTGATGTTTGTAAATAGTGCACAGAATAAATAAATAATACCTCATTTGTAAAATTCAGAAAATGATTATATTGTTTCATTGTCTTACTCCAAGAGTACAATGAATCCAATATCTCCACTCGATTAGTGCAAGTCTAGGATCCTCCTAAGACCAAAAGAAGTAACATGCCTCTCGAACACAAGTTGAGGCAAACTCTTAGTAACTTGGTCTGCAAGATCAACCTCTAATGATATATGAGTTTAGTGAAAAACTCATAGCTCGAGGTTGATTTCTTGAGTCAATATCCACTTGAAAAACTAATATGTGAAAACTCAGCTTTTCAATACTCCCACTAGAATATACCAACATATAACCTCTCGTTCTCCAAAGATACTTGAGTACATGCTTAACAATAATCTAGGGTTCCTCTAGGTCCAGAATGGTACTGTCTCACTATTTCCACTATGTGATAGATGTCTGGTTTAATGCTTAACATGGTATGCATGAGACTACTTATTGCCCATGTGTAACACCCCGTGTATACTCGAAATATTAACATTACATCGTATTAAGCGGTGCTTAATTAAAAATGCGGAATATTTTTTTTCTTTTCAATTATGACGTCATTATCAATTACCAACTTGATTACTTAATCAATTTCATAAAATATCGCCTGTATGTAAATTGCAACAAGACATCTACTGAAATACCTCAATATATAGATAAAGTGTGTATTTAAATCACGGCATTACATCTCGTAATCCGGACAATATCCTGATACATTATTACAACTCCAAAAGACTCAAGACATAATCAAGACATAACAATACTATGTGTCATGGACAATCCCCATGCTCACCAAGTAAACATAGTAAACCACCAGTCTCAACATAAAACTCCATAAACATAAACTGAAGCTATAAGCATAAACAGCATGCAAATCCAGCATCCAATCATGGCAGCATAACATAACAGCAATCTAACTCAGCTCCGGCCTCTTGCCGCCTGAGGTCTCAACATTACCTGACCCTAAAATAAGCATTCCCCAAACGTGGGGTGAGATCTCTAAACTAGAAATCTCAGTAAGACAAGGGGTCCTCAAGGATCTTCCACCCCAAGCTCACTTACATGTGCAATATAAGTTCTAAAAGCATTTATATCATTATCAGTTCCAAAACTATGTAGTGCAACAGATATCTATGGCATGTGTGTAATCACTATCTACTGGCCAGAGAAATGTAGGAATACGTCTATTCCCTACATGTAGTACAAGGAACATCGCTTGCACCTCACCCACAACCTCACCCTCTTGTATGTTCTACATACTCAGGCTTACCGTATAGGTGGAACACCTCCATGCATATCAACAAGACACTAACATACAATAGCTCAACAGCATTTCCAAAACATCAAAAGCATGTAACACAGCATGCATATACCATATCCCCAAGGGACATGATGGAACCACAACATGGCTAAACCGAGGACACGAAAGCTTAGCTCTAAGCTAACAATCCAATGTCACAAGCTCAAA